TTACCTTGAAGTGAGTTTTCATATATTATTCAATAGTTTGACAATTTCAGACAGAAGTGTCTTATTTTATGACAGCGCCGTCGCTTTTTTGACGCCTTTAACGATTTTCAGTCGTTTTTCATGCTGTTGATGTTTTTTGACGTTTGACGAAGAAGAATTGACCCATTTCTTTTACCTATAGAAGTATTAACATTGATTGCATAGTTCAACCTGCTTTTTATTTGTAAATCAGTTTTTTTGTAAACATACGAGATAAGACAACTAAGTTACTAGTAAAAAATGAGATTCTTTTATGCCATGAGTAATTAGTGACGATTTAATACTGGACGGCTGATTCTCTGAAGAGATGCTTTGACAAATCAGTGTAATTGACAAAGATGGATTATCAATCCAAACAATACATTCCTAGTACATATCTGGTCTTTGACAAGAATGTTTAACATTCCATTTTATTTGTACACATTTATCCAATGTCTGGAACTTCTTTTGAATTGTAAATCAAAAACCATGGGTCCTTTGTCAAACTTATTTGTCAACGCATCAGTAACAGTACCTTCAAATTTAAACAAATAAGTTAATAGTCTGCAGATTTTATGACCTGTAGAACTACTGAAATCAACATTAATTAAAGTAGATTGTGAAAATTAGAATCTTAGGGTAGGTAACTTAACCACTTCCACAAAATGACAACTTAATAAGAAAGAAGCACTTTATGAATAACAATTTACACTTGACGTTAGAACTTGACGTTTTTAATAAGAAATACTTGGTGAATGTTGAGTTGTGCAGTTATGCAGAGAGACTGAAAGTGTTGTTTCGAAAAACTTAAAGACAGTGGTAGTGCATATGAAATTACTAGCCATTTAGCACATTGTGTCCTTGCTAGATTGCAGGAAAGTGTTAGTTTATGTTTACATTAAACATTTTCAATCAATTTAATAGATTTATCTAAATTTCGGAGTTGATAGTCAAGACATACGATTCATAGAAAAGTTATACTGGCGTCAAACAGCGACAGCTTGCATAAACGGAAAATCAACAGAAATATGTAAAATACAAAGAGTGTCAGACAGGGTTGTATACTATCCCCACTGTTATTTAATTTATATTCAGATAGAATATTTAAAGAAGCGCTGCATAATTTGGAATGGGTCGTGAAGGTTAATGTAATTCTGATAAATACAATCAGATATGCAGAACGAACCCTAACTACTAAAGAGCTTGGGCAAAACAGTACCAACTACCAGAAATATCTTGAGTCTAGTCTAGAGCCAATGGAACAGCTAAAAGAAAAAGACATAAATAATTTGGAAGAAACGATAAGAAACGAGTTATAATCTCTGCGATCAAAAAACCCATACGATGCCGAAACCGAAAGATAATAAATTGAAGACAGAAACACAACAGATGATTAGGGACAGAAGCCGCATGGATCGAAATTCACCAGAATATAAGGAACTTAATAAGGCAATAAGAACAAAGAATTAGACAAGACATCAGGGACAACAACACCGAAAAAATCGAAAACATTATAGAGAAAAACAAGAATATGAAAGTGTTAAAAACGCTAAATAGCAAAGGCCGACAACAAAATACACCAAATAAAGGATAAAAATGGAATCATTAGAAACGACAAAAATCAGATAATAAACATTGTCGAAGATTATTATACAGAATTATACTCGTCCAGCGTAGCAAAACCTGAAACCCATGATACGGAACGAAGAATACTAAATGTAGGATCTGAAACACTACCAGAAATTACTACCGAGGAAGTTGTAAATGCCTTAAAGCAAATGAAAAATGGAAAATCTCCTGGAGACGACGGAATAACAAAAGAGATGATTACAGCTGGAGGTCAAACTACTATGGAGGCAGTTAAAATCTTACTGAACAAGTGCCTATTCGGGGGTGCTATTCCAACCTCTTGGCAAAACGCGCAGGTACTTTTACTACACAAGAAAGGAGACAAACACAAACTCGAAAATTACAGACCAATAAGCCTGTTACCACATCCATACAAACTGCTTACCAAAATAATTACCAACAGACTATCAAACAAATTTGATAGTTACCAGCCTGTTGAACAAGCGGGTTTCCGCAAAGGTTATAGTACAATAGAACACCTACAGACAATAAGGACACTTATTGAAAAATGTAACGAATACAATGAACCTCTTCATTTGGCATTTGTGGATTACAATAAGGCATTCGATTCCATAGAATTCTGGGCGGTATTAGACGGAATGAACAACGCAAGGATAGATTCCAGATATAGAATGCTCCTAAAATACATATACGACAATGCAACTATGCAAATAAATGTAGCAGAAGGCCTAACAACAAACAAAATAAGATCAGAAAGAGGTGTTCGACAGGGAGACACCATATCTCCAAAATTATTTACTCTTGCATTAGAAGATGTGTTCAAGAAGTTAAATTGGGAACAACTCGGAATTAAAATTGATGGCAGGTTTTTAAGCCACCTAAGATTTGCCGATGACATAGTACTCATAAGCAACAATACAGAGGAACTAATCTACATGCTGAAGGAGCTTAAACAAGAATCTGAAAAAATCGGTTTAAAAATGAATTTAAATAAAACAAAAGTAATGACAAATCAAAATATCACAATCGACTTAGATGGAAGTGAGATCGAAAGTGTCGAAGAGTATATATACCTAGGTCACACCATCAAACTAGGCAAACAGAATCAAACAGCAGAGATAACTAGAAGAATCCGAATGACTTGGGCAGCAGTAGGCAGACTCAGTGATGTGTTGAAGAACAAAAAGATACCAATAAATCTAAAGAAAAGGGTATTCAACAGTTGTATTCTACCGGTTATGACTTATGGAATGGAGACCATGACACTTACAGAGTTGTCAGCCAACAGATTAAGAACAACACAGAGGGCCATCGAACGAGCTATGTTGGGAGTATCACTGAGAGAACATATACGAAACGAGGACATACGAAGCAGGACGAAGGTGGAAGATGTAATTGGAAGAATTGCACAAATGAAATGGAACTGGGTAGGGCACGTGGCACGGCAAAACAACGACAGATGGACGAAAAACATTGTACATTGGAGACCACGCGAACACAGTCGGAGTAGAGGAAGACCACAAAAACGATGGCTAGACGACATCAAAGCAAAAATGGGGAGAAACTGGCACCAAATAGCACAAAACAGGGAAGAGTGGAGAACTCATGGGGAGGCCTTTGTCCAGGAGTGGATGCAAACAGGCTGAAGAAGAAGAAGAAGATGCAGACGATACAGTTATTTTAAGTGATGACATGAATGGACTACAATGCCTTTTAAATGCCATTGATACAGTGGGAAGAGATTTTGGCCTAAACATAAACTGTTCAAAAACAAAACACATGGTGTTTAGCCGTTTAGCACATCAAGATGCACGATTATATGTTGATGGTGATAATAATTCAAAGCGTGTCCAGTTTTAATTATCTTGGTTGCCATATTACTGAACAACTAGATCCAGATCAAGAGATAAATGTAGAATCGAGATAGCCCGCACGACATTTTAAAAATGAGGTCATTCTTCTGTAATGATAACTTGCAACTTCAACTTCGAAAGCGCATGGTTAAATGCTACATTTGGTCAGTCCTCTTATACGGTGTCGAAGCATGGGCATTAAAAATATCCACCATTAATCGCCTGGAGGCCTTTGAAATGTGGCTGCACAGACGTATCACTAAAAATTTCATGGACGGCTATGCTGACAAATGTGGCCTTGAGAGAGCAAATGCTGCTCGCGAGCTGCTTGATAACATCAAATGTAGAAAGATGGCCTATTTTGGCACGTAGTAAGGGATAGACCGATATAATATTCTTCAACTTATTATGATGGGTAAAATCGAAGGACGCAGAGGAATTGGTAGAAAGCAGGCCTCTTGGTTGAAGAATATCAGGGAGTGGACAGGAATAAGGAAAGCTGAGCAACTCTTTAGAATGGCTCGAGACAGAGACAGTTTCGCCATGTTAATCGCCAACGTTAAGGGGACTTGATAGGGCACGTTAGAAGAAGAATCTAAATTTCGATAACGCTTTCGATATTAAAAGAATAATGTGTTGAGGTTATGAACTTTTGTTTGTCCTAAAAATGTCAAATAACAAATGTCATTCGGTGGAAGCGATTAAAATTTCACAGGCTACATTCATTATGATTTTTTCGATGTCTTGATAGAAAATAATACTGTAAAATAATAGCAATAGAAGGAAATACAGATCATCTTTGATAAAATTAGAATTGGAAGTTTTAATTTTTTTTTTATTTTATTTGACAAAAAATACTTTTTTAAATATTTTACTATATTATGTTTAAATAGTAACATACCTTGATTAATTAGTTATTCAGTAAAAACTGCAACAACACCGTTTAAAAATTGTACAAACACTAAAAACCGGGACATTGCCATATAATCCCCGCGATCACACAAGAGTGGTTGATGTACACAACTAGGTAAACCATATAAGGGGTAGACTATCAGAAAATCCGAAATATCTTAAGTACAAGAACATTTGAATTCAAGGTAGAACTAACAAGAAAATACTAAAAGCTGAAAAACTTCGACTAACTCAGATTACTTATCGGGTATCACATCGTAGTGAGTGAGTAAGTATCAATAAAACGGGCAATACTCCAGAAAAGCATTTTGGGGTTCATATTCATTATTAGAAACCATAATTTCAAATTCACAGCTTTAACTTATTGTATATTTTATTGTTAGCTCTCTATTAAACTTTATAAAACTACAAACGTAGCTTGGCATTACCTCTTCAAATATCAATTAACACACAATATCAAAAGTCAGTTACGTGTCAGTAAACACGGACATATTATTACTGTTACACAAGGTATTTGAACACGTGATGCGCACGTGGCCCATCTACACCTTTTACGGTTTTAGTTAAAGAACAAATAAAAACAAAAATAGAAGTCCTTGTATTTTTTGGTGAGTATGACTTAGGCGACTACTGCGCCTGCGGATCACACTGCAACAGTCGCACTATAGACGGATCGCTCTTAGCGCCCTCTATGAATTCTTCAAGGCTTAACTTGCCGTCTTTGTTGCGGTCCATCTGTCGGAAGATTTTATCGGTGCGTTTTTCGGGGGTGCTCTCATCTTCAGGCATCTTCATCACAGATCCAACCATCTTGTAGATAGCCTGCAAAACAACAATACCAACTAAAACGATAAAATCACAATAATTTTGCATATACTTGTTTATGATTTTAAAAAATGCTGTTCAATTTTAGATCTGGACGATAGCGGGTGTGAATATTTTACTTCGTCACGCACATAGTTATGTAACTGAATATAAGTAGCATTATTATGCTTTTGTGCATATAAAACGTTGCGCTCTAAAGAAATCTCTACATCTTATACTGTGATCATGAAATTGAAAACTCATAATAATCTTACTTTTGTCGTTAAAGGAAAAGTTACAGAGAAGGTAGAGGGATACCAAAAAAAAAATAATAAATTACGTCCGTCTTTTTGTAACGAGTTCGTTACTATAATCCGTAAACATTCTTAAATAAAATTTTAAAGTCTCAATCCTCTTAATGATTTTCTGAATTTTAAAATTTAAGTTGGTATTAAACAGCGACACCTACGGCGCTGTAAGGCGACATGACCATCCGGCTAGTAATTAGCGCTCAATCTGGTTTTAACTTTTTGAGAAACAACTTCGTTTAATAGGGAAAAGGGTAGGCGACAGAGGCCGGTTAAATTTATTTAAACAATATTAATTTTGTTGGGGAAGGAAGAATAAGGAGTTTTCAGTTGTTTTGTAGTGTAAAATCGTTGATTTAAGAAGCCACTTCTAGTCGCCTACCCCAAGAAGTTAAATCCAGAGTCAAGGATTTTTCTTTTATTTATTTTTGAGAATTGATTACACAAAGAAAAAAAATTACGTTTTGAATTTGCCCATTTGCCGTCTGTTCCATCAGAGGTCCAGAGCTCTCCCCGACTACTCTCGGACCACTTCCGGATACCAGCCCGAAAGACCTCCCTTATTTAGAGGGTGGAACATTGTTAATTTTTATATTGTTTATTCATTAATTTAATAATTTTGTTTATAATTTTTTTTTCTCAATCATAAAATCTTAATAGTTCATTTAATAATAAAGACCCGTCATTTTTTCTAAATAATTATAAACTACTTAAGTGTTAAAATTGTCAAGTCCATGTCGAGGTTTTAAATCCTCCCTTTTAACTCGGTTGTACGGTTTTATGTGTACACATTTAATCAGAGAGTTATTTTTTTTAAGATCTTATTATTATTATATATTTAAACGTTTGGACATTTATCTCGTCAAGATAGTGTCCTTATTACTTGTTACAATTACATTCAATTGAAAGCCAAATAAAGAGTTGCATCTCTGAGGCAAGTAAATTACCTTTTTAGGTCAATCATTACCATTTTTTCCCATATTTTATTATTTGTAAATTTAGATCATCAAGAATCAGTTGGGTATAACCAGGGCTATTATTTTTTGTATATAATTAAGTTGACTGTACATAATTGGTGGTGGGTATTTTAAGATAAATTTATATTGTATATATTTGGCTAGGGATTAAAGTTTTGGTGAAAAGTAAATATTTCAATTCATACTTATATCCTTTTTTTATTCCAGCACATAGCTTCACAAGATACCTTGGAAAGTTTATGTAAATACTTTATTAGCTCCCACTCACATTTTGGAGCAACTTCTATAATCACTTTTATTTATTCTTAGTTACATTCTTATAGTTTTTTTTTATAACCTTGTCATTCACATATTCTTACACATTTTTTGTTACATTTTGTAATTTAAAGATTCTATCAGAGTGACAAAAACCGCCCTAAACAGTTATTCTGTACTGTATATGACTGTGAAACAGTGAAAAAAAACTATCGTCCAGTAGACTGTACAGTAGACTAGCACGGAGCTTCATACTATGTTGACTGTATTTTTAAATTTAATTATTTTTAAAGTTGAAAAGTAATTTTAATTATTTATTTTTTAAACAAATTATATCATGTATATTAAAATAATTCAATAAATTATATACCATTAGTAATTAAGCAAAGAAGACCCGCATCACAAAAATGGTGTAGGTATATTAGTAATATCAGAACTGAGGTAAATTTCGTACCAGTCTCGGATAGAATAATATTACTCCAAATAAATACTCAACCATTTGAAACTAACATACTTCAAATCTATGCCCCGACTGCAAATAGAAAATATGACGATGAAGTCGAGAAGTTGTATGATTAGATCCAAGACATCTTACAAAAACTTATAAACACGAAATTTTATATATTATAAGCGACTTGAATGCAAAAATTGGGGAAGGTCGACGAGGATCACACTGTAGGTCCTTATGGTCTAGGACAGCCTAACCATCGAGGACAGAGATTGCATGAATTTTGTAAATAAAACGATATGATCATTGCAAACACCTTGTATAAACTACCCAAGCGACGACTATTCGGTCCGTGGGTCTCCCCTCTATTTACAGTCACGTGACACACTGTCAGATTTGTGAGGACGTTTTAGTATTGAGTCTTATGGGTTATTTTGTTAAACTTAAATATTTTATTTTTTAGTGTTAATATCCGGATACAATTTTTAGAATTAATTAGTTATCTATTTATAGTGACATTTATAGTTCAACAAAAATATTTTTTGACGTTAATAAAGATTTATTAACATAATCTACGAAAGTGAGGTTATATATACATGATCAACCAATGATCAACATCCATGGTACAATGAATATGTTGATTGTACCATGCAATAAAGCGTCCTGATAAAATTTCAAGCAATCGCCACCATGAGCAGGTCAGTCGATTTTGCTTTGACACTTTGTTAACCCTCGGAGCGAATACACTTGGAAAGCCCCATCTGATGATGAAAATAACTCTGAGTCCTCAAGAAATCAAAGAGACTATACACTAGTGGCCAAAATTCTGAAAACTTTACAAAAATTATCGTTTTTTTAGCAAGACTCGTCTCATGATCATGATTTATATAGGTTACCATTACAATTAGATTTTTATTTTATTGTTTTATATTCCTGCATAATATTTTATTTATTTCTCACTCTTTTTTATTAACATCATTATTTAATAAAATATGGAACCAGATTCAAGCGAAACGCCGAAAATTCGAGATTTGTGAATGGCAACATTGGCTATACTGTATTGCGTCAGGGTTTTGCTAGTCAGTCAACAACCCAACTGGAAGCGGTTTTAGGTGGCCTTTAGTATGCTAGTATACTACTACACAAGTATACTAGTGTATACTTGTAAATGAGCGTTTCCGAAATGCCGTTAAAAAGTCACTACATTTCCGGGGGCAGATATTGGATAAGATCATCAACCATTTGTAGCGGATATTAAACCAAGGTTAAAACGAATTCAGCGACGAAAACCAAAAACCAATGTAATTGACTTTAACGATATAAACATAAAACATAACATTAAAACATAATTTAACAATATAATGAAAAACATCGGAGAACAACTAGAAGATCCCGAAGAACTGTGGAGTGAATTTAAAATAAAAACAAAGTTAACGAAATCTCCATAAAAAAGATTATAAAATAAACTTAATCAACAAAAATACATGGATGACAGACGATATCTTGAAATTAATATAACAACGTCGACTGATAAAATCTAATGAAACAGAATATACACACCTGCAGAGAAGAATAAAAAAGGAGATCAAATTAGCCAAAGACAAATGGATGAGAGAAAGGTGCGACGAAATGGAGGATGTAATGTTTAAACACGACTTATTTCTTCTTATTAGGATGCCTGTCCGTTCCGAACGTTGGCGATCATTCTGGCTATGATGATTTTGTTGGTTGCTATACGAAATAGCTGTGTTGAGGTCTTTCTATACCATGCTCTTAAGTTAGCAAGCCAGGATATTCTTCTTTTCGTCCTGGGGCTCTTTTTCCTTCAATTTTACGCTGCAAAATGCAATGGAGTAGCTCGTATCTGCCTTGATTTCTCATAATATGTCCCAAGTACTTCAGCTTACCGCTCTTCACAATGTTGACCAAATCCGCGGTTGTGTTCATCCTCCGCAGTACTTCTTCATTGGTGACTTTGTCTGTCCATGGTATCTTCAGGATTTTTCTGTATAACCATAATTCAAACGCCTGAAGTTTTGATAGATTTTCCGCCTTCAATGTCTACGTTTCTACTCCATACAGAAGCACTGAGTATACGTAACATTTAAACGTCAAAATAATATTTACAATATGTTGATATAAAAGATAACAGTAAAAATATTTAAATAATAAAACATTATTTAGCTCAAATAAAATTGTTGCAAGATTTTGAGCGTATGTTTTTCGTTTCTAATATTTCATCACCTTTAGAATCTGAACTATTATCTTCAATGTTAATGATTACATGGATGATACGGTGGCAATCTAAACACTTCGTGTCCATGTTCACGTATCAATTCATCTTGGTCAATTGTAACAATTTCATGTTCATCAAGATTAACATTGTATTTCTTCAAACAACCAATCTATAATGTCTTATTTTTACCATTTAGCGGAAAGTTGTTTATTCATGATTTCACTATGGAACTTGCGTTGTAAATGACAATCAAGGATAGGCGTCTTAAAGTGGGAAGTAATTGTTTACTTATCCATGTAGTAAATATTGTACTAGTCATTTCACCGTGATAATTTGCAGTCAAGGATTTGGAACAAATCTGCCTGCAGATTGCCCTGCCTTCGGAGCCGATTTCTTAATTGCAGGACAAAAGAGTGCCCTACCACTTACCAATCATTCCCCCGAAACCATTGGTCAGTAAGTGGGGGATAGCTTATACTGCCAATCACTAGAACGTCAGAACATCGTTTGTTATCTAGCAGGATGCACCGGATGATCAGAATCAAGATCAACACACGGCAGGTGAGGTTGACATTTGAATAGGAGAGGCTCTATGTTGCGAATCACTATGCCTTAAATACCTGTACATGGACGTATAAACACAGATGGACTCAGTTATTTACATAAAATTGTGAAGTCAAAATTATTTGAATAGGTCACATTCTCAGCACCTTCAACTGTTGTCCCGTTTCAAACCAAAATAATAATTTATTGGTTTGATTAATATATTTAATTGTAATCAAAATATAAAGTGT